GAACAGTGAATTATGAGTTTTTCGTGGTTTGGCAATTATTGATATCTAGTAGATTTTGAAACCTAGGTATGAGATCACAATGATAAATTGCTTTTCTTTAAACAAATTTGTAATCTTCATCTACTTTACTCCATGCTTTATGAGCCTAATTTTTCAGGGTTCATTAATTCACTTTCCTCTGGTGACTGTTATGTAGTGTTTGGTTTTCTATTCCTGTCAGTTTTGTCCTCGAAACTATACAGTATTCATTTAAAATTCTTAGTTCTTATTTAACTAATCTCTCCAGTTTTTCAACTATTCTTTATGCACAACATTAACTTCATTGACTGTCTCCAAGTTTAAGGACAATCATTTATTGTTCCTCTTCCTTGATTCATCTAACTTAAAAAAATAAAGTGACCGCTCATTTCTCCGTACCCAGTTTCGACAGCCTCTTCACTTCCTTTGCTTGCGCTATCATTCTGCCAGTTCCTACAGCTGGCCAGCAGAGCTCTTTAACTGTCTCTCCAGTGTCCCTGTTGCACCTCATAACTCACATTCTCATCACCAGAGTCCTAGTCCCTCTAACGTTCACATGATTCCTGCGCCAGCAGCAATTCATCTGTTCCACACTCCCTAACCCTCTAATGGCATCAAGCTAGTCATCAGCTGAACAACTTAAATTAGTATACCTCTGCTGTCAAAAGTGTATGGATCCATCCTAAAGGAAAAAAAATAACCCATATATCATCAATGTCAACTAAAATCAGGTTCATTACAATCCAGTAGAAATCAGGACAGCACAAGTCCATTTATAAATCCTTCTTGTAGAACATTGGTTACTATGAAATCAAAGCATAACGATCACTAACAACACAACTGCTATAATTTAAATGAATAAGATGAATGAAAATGAAGGCCCACCTATTCAAGTCTGCTTTCTGTTGTTGCGAGAAACACTGTGACCAAAAGCAACTAGGGAGGGAAGGTTAATTTGGCTTAGCTTCCAGATTACAATCCAATACTGAAGGAAGTCAGGGCAGGAACCTGGAGCAGAAAACATGAAAGAATGCTGCTTACCGGTCTGTTCTCTAGCTGATGCTCAGCTAACTTTCCTATACAGCACAAGACCTCTGTCCCAGGAATAGTGGCATACAGTGGGCTCCTACATTAATTAGCAAGGAAGAAAATGCCTCTCAGACATGCCCACAGGTCATTCTGATCAAGACAGTCCCCTAGTTTACACTCCCTTAGATAGCTGTGGGCAATGTAAGTTGACAGCTGAAGATAGGTAGGGGGCTACTTTCTATGTAAATACTGTACTAACTGGTGCTTTTGTACATTGGATAGCTAAAGAAAGTTTTAAGGGACTGGGAAGGTGGCTCTGTAGATAAAGCGCTTCCACACAAGCAGGAGGAGCAGTTTGGATCCCAGCATCCATATAAAAGACTGAATCAGCAAGTGAATTGAGGAAGACAACCAATATCAACAATTGACCTTCACCTGTGCACATGCATCCACACAAGAGAACATGCAAATACAAGTATATACACATCACACACACCTACACATGAAAAAACAGAAGACAAAAAGTGTTGGGACAATTGATCCACCCAATAGGATCCAGTATTATAGCAGAAGTAGGAATCATACCATGGATGGTGAAATGATACCATCCAAAAGATTTTTTCAGTTGCCATATTTCAAGAGATCCATACCTTCTGTGAGTAGTCACAGAACCTTCCTTGGTTTTAAATGCAGAAAATCATTAATGTCTTGAGCCCATTTGATTTTTTTTTTAAATTTAAATCACTGTGTCATGAACATTAAACACAAAACAAATGAAATATTTGTACCATGTGCAGTAGAAAGACTGATATTCCATCATGACAAGAGTGTAATCTTTTTCTTTAATTTATTTATTTATTATTTTTATTTTATGTGTATGTGTGTACAGCCTGCATGTAGGTGAGTACACCCGTATCATGCAATGCCCATGGACGACAGAAGAGGCTCTCAGATGCCCTGGAACTGGAGTTTCAGACAGTTGTTAACTGCCATACTGGGTGCTGGGATTCAAACCCAGGTCTTCTGTAAGAACAGTCAATGCTCTTAACTGCTGACCCATCTCTCTAGCCCCAAGAATATGTTCAATTTTATAGGTAATTACTTAAGAAAAATGAAATATACCTAAAAATATATCACTGAAGTTCAGCTTAAACACATTGAGCTAAATGACAGTATGTGTCTAGCTATTCACACTCAATAATTAGAATTCATTTCCTTAACATACATGTATGAATGCATGTCTTATTAACAAAACTCTCTATAAAACAGAAACATCACTTTGGGCTCCCTGTGTTTCCATACCCCAGTCTAAGAACTTGTGCTTTTAAATCTTCACTAAGAGTTTCACTGATAGATTTTTTTTGAGTCAAAGTCTCAAAGAAGAGAGTTCATCTCCTCTGTGCTGTTTTGTTGCTGCTTTCTCATGAAGTCAGTTGATTGCCTAATGGCTCACTGATCCTTTACCCCGTATCCTCTCCACAGTGAAAAATAGGAACATGGAGGTGCCTTGGTTCTTGATATTCATTCTTTTTAAAGTAATTCTCTTCTTACTGCATTTTGTATTTCTTACCTGAACCTTCTTTTCATCCTCTACTTCTGGATGAAATTCCTTCTTTCCTTCCTCCCTTCCTTCCTCCCTCCCTCCCTCCCTCCCTCCCTTCCTTCTTGGTCTTTTTGAGACAGGGTCTCCCTGTCGCTCCAATTGGCCTGAAACTTGATATGTAGACCAGGCTAGACTCAATCTCCCAGAGATTCACCTGCTTCTGTCTCCCAAATGCAGGGATCAAAGACCTGTGCTACCATGTCTGGCTAGAGCTGGGACCTATATCCAAGGCCTGACTCCAAAGCTCCTGCCCTTAACCATATCGCTATTGCTCTTACTAGTTTGGTCTTTTGCAATAACTGGCATAACGTTCTACACTCTGCAGATTCCCCGCATCCTGTCAGATGAGGAGGAGAACCATGACTCTGCTTTCTGTAGGTTCCTCAAAATTTTGCTTCCAGCAGTTTCTTAAAGAATATTTCAGTTTTGTAGTGTTTTGTTTTATGTAGAAGTGTTTATCTGCAGTAGCAGGGGTAAGAAATAGACTTTCATCCCCACTTAGCTGAGCTAAATATCTGGTCACATGTCTGCATCTTTATCCCAGACAGAACAGGGGCAGCCATGCCCATGACACAGAACACAGTGCACAGTATTGGCAGTGAATGTTTAGTTACAACACAGAGCACCTAACTTGTAATCATTAGTGGGATCCTGTGTAAGGATTCAACACAGCTGTGACTCCTTCCACTGGTGAATCATTCTGCTTGAAATATAATAGGAAAGTTATTTATCACTTCTGGTGAGGTTGGAAGCGTCCTCCTGGCCCTCGGGTAGTGGCTAAGACTCTGACTCTCCACAAGGATTTTGTGACACTACGGTGCAGAGAAAGGAATCACTACTGTAGGGGAAAAGGAAACAGTCTTCCCTGACACAGCAGAGTAGATCCTCGTCGGGGCCTGACAGGAATAGAATTCACTCCCTTCTTTGTCCCTGGCTGACATACTAGCTTGTGGGAATTTATGGTGCTGTCTTCCACCTAACAGGGATAGACATCTAGGCTCAATATTTGATGTGTGGCCACCCTCAAGAACTCTAGATCTAGATTTTTTGGTCCCTTTTCTTTTTCAATACTTATTCTTTTCCCATTTGTCTCTTCTTGAGACTTGATTATACATGAAAGCATTTGTAAGAGACAATATCACAGTGTTTATTCAGCTGCCTTTCCCAACTGAGTACCTATATCATTTGTTCCTCAGGAGACTGCTGAAAACTCCAGGCCTATAAAAAC